CATAACAAAAATTCACTGAATGTCCTTCCTTGCCACAGTGTGTACACTTCCTAGTAGAGGTATCTTTTCCTTTACCACGGCCTCCCCCTGAGTCTCGACCACCACCACAGCCAAATATGAAACCACCACGACCTCCTCAAGATCCATGTCCTCCCCCTTTATTACCACGTCCACCTCCTCTGGCTGCCACAAATCCTAATCTGTCAGATGGTGTTGTACTCTCTGTAGAACCCAAGGAGATCCTACAGAGCCTTGCAAATACTTCTTCAAGGGTAGGAAGAGTAGAGCTTCCCAAAATTTGGGCTCTAACTGGTTCGTATTCTGATTTCAGCCCCACTAAGAACCTAGTGACATCTAGTTGCTCCCTTTTTTGTTGCTGAACCTTAACATCTAGAGTTAGGGGATGATAGACATTTAGTTCATTTCTGATGTTTTTCATGCTGGCATAGTACTCTTCTAGGGTTTTACTCCCTTGTTGCAGATCAAAATACTCCTGATAGAGCTAATATACCCTCGTAGTGTTATCCTGCCTAGAATAAAGCTTCTTGGCATATTCTCATATGTCCTTAGTTGTATCTAAGAACATAAAGTTCGCACTTATTTTAGGTTCCATACTATTCCATAACCATGTCATGATTTGGGCATCTTCCTGTTCCCAATAATCAAACCCTAAAGAGTTAGGTGGTGGTTTATCTTCCTTCACATGCTTCACTTTCCTCTTTGCCTTGAGAAAAACTTCCACTGACTTCGCCAATGGTATATAGTTCTCACCATTAAGTTTAACTGAAGCCATCTGCACACCCAGATAGTCAGAGGGAATCACCACACTAGGTTTCTAATCACTACAACCATCTCCAGTTGTTGCCATGATGCCCTTCCAATGCTACTTCTAATCTGAATTCCCAGTCACCAACTAAGTACTGCTGTCAGGAGTTTGATGTTCCAAACACTACAGCAGTCCCCAAACAYAGATRATAGRCTCACAACCAGTCACAATCAATCACCACTGTTCACAACCAGTCAATCAATCAGTCCCCCCAAACACACAGATGTCCCAGACACTACAGCCATCCCCAAACACAGTTGATAGGTACACAAACTTTTGTTCTTGTTCACACCACTACTGATTTCACAAAACCATAAACCACACTGACATTAACTCAGCAACTCACTAACTACATACAAGCCCTCTTGAAGCTGCTCAATAGAGGTTGAGCATTACAAGCACCACCACAGAACCATAGCTGTCACACATGGTACAGATCTGTCTGACCTTTTCAGAGGGCACTACAAGTCCAAAGAAAGCATCAACTACTACCACTGCAGTAACCTGTCATTCAATTCAGGTCACTTGTGACCAACAAAGGCTTCAAAACAACTACAAACCCACATAAAAGGGTCAAACATACCCTTACACCATTCGGCCACTGTAAACACATCCTGTTCTTGGACCTTTTTCCAAGAACCAAGGCTACAAACAACCTAGTTCTCTAGGTTCTGATCAGTCCAAGCAGATTTTGAAGAATTTCAACCCAGAAATACCAACAGCACAAAAAAAAAGGTAGCCAACCTTTGACGGAGAGCTTCAGTCGACCATCCACTTACTTTTGGAGTTGTTTTTCTTGAAAAATAGTCAAGTTCTGCGCAGAGGAAGAAGGACTGAAGTGTTCTCAGACTTAGGTCGAATCTGTGTTCTCCATTTTCAGCCCAGAAAGAAGAAAAAAAGTGAGGTCACGACCAGAGAGGAGCAGGGGAGGAGATTTAGAGAGCAACGTCCTACTCTGATACCATCTTTGTTCTGTAGCTACAGTAGTTCGAACCAGAAGAAGAAGAAAACAGTCAAACTTGATAGGCTAAACCCTACCATTCGACCATAATATGGATTAGGGGTTTAATTAAGTACAAAGACTAAACTGCCCACACTTAAGTATGGGACAGGGAGTCTAATTAGAACTGCCACATAAGCACATAACTTAAAGTGGCTGGAAAAGACTAATCTACCCCTCATTCGGCTAGCTCTAACAATTATTAAAGAAAAGTACTATTAAAATTATAATTATTAATTTTACATAATTATATAAATTAATTTAGCATAATTTAATAAGATAAAATTAATTAATGTTTTCATTTGTTTTTTTAATTTTTAAGTTTAACTTGAGACAATCAAAGAATTAATGTTGGTCAATCTTTTCCACTTAATCCGGCACTTTGTCCAATTTGGTGATAATGTGAAAATTTTTTTGTTTTTTTTATTTATTCATTTTCTAGAGAAAAATATATCTTTGGTGTAGTTGATGTCATTGGTTTTAATGCATTATTATCCATAATATTTTATTTATTTAATTTACTACGAACCCAATATTTAGGGTTGTCAATGGTTGAGTTTGGCTCTAGATAGCTTGGACCAGTCTTGGCCCAATAATAAATGGAATTTTATTTATTTATTTATTTATTTTAGTGTTGTCAACAGGTTGGGTTTTATTTATTTATCTATAATTTTTTATTTATTTAATTTACTACGATTCCAATATTTAGGATTGTCAACAGGTTCTTGGCCCAATAATAAATGGAATTTTATTTATTTATTTTAGTGTTGTCAACAGGTCAGGTTTTATTTATTTATTTAATTTACCACAATCCCAATATTTAGGATTGTCAATGGGCTAGGTTTGGTTCTAGATAGCTTGGGCCAATCTTGTCCCAATAATAAATAGAATCTTATTTATTTATTTTATTATTGTCTACGGATTGGGTTTGGTTCTAGATAGCTTGGATGAGTCTTGTCAACAAGTCTGGTTTGGTTCTAGATAGCTTAGACCAGTCTTGTCCCAATAATAAATGAACGAGTTAGGTTTGGTTTGGGGCTATCAACAGGTTAGGTCTGCTTTGGGATAGCTCATACCTATCTCATGCCAATATAAATGGAACTTTATTTATTTATTTTAGTTATACACTGTAACCCATAATTTTTATTTATTTATTTTACCAAATTATTAAATTAATCAATAATTTATTTTATATGCTACTTGTACATTATCCAACTTATTACTAACTCTACAAAAATATATCCATAGGCTCATCGCTACTTTAATCCCATCACTAAAGTTTGTATTTGAAGAAGGTGAACACGATAGCCAAAAACCTTTAATATATGAAATTGATCATATACAAGGTTTATTTACTAATAAATGGATTATTACAGGTGTTGACAACAAACTTTATCTTCTAGCATTAATGCACTTGAAGGCCTAGATAACAAGAGATTAAAAAATGTTTAATGGCACTTTTTTGCTACTTTTAATTTATGGTACTGGTGGCATAATCTTGTATGGAACACTTGCCATTACAAGCTATTAGCTGCATGTACTTTTCCACACTTCAAGTACTTGCATATACTTTCTAATTTTAATCTAACAGCCAACTTTCTCACCTCCCTTATCAAATTCTTTTTTTATATAAAATACTTATCTTTCACAAGCCCCTGCAACACAGAGGCCCCTCCGCTAGTGTGATTTAGTTCAAAAGAAGAGACCTAACCAGTGTCTCTCCCCTGGTTGGTGTATTATGTGTAAGGCCAATGGTTATAATTCTTACCACTTATAAATTTCTTATCCTTTTGTTGCTTGTATTTGGGAATGGTTCCTCTCTTTGTTTGGGTGTAGGTGGACTCCTTCAGCCAATGTTCCAAGCCTCTTTGCTCAAACAACCTTTAATGGCCAAAGAAGAGGGGAAGATACATGTGGAAATGCATAAGAGTGGCAATTATTTGGACTATATGGGAGGAAAGGAACTCAAGAATCTTCTTAGAGAAGGAGAAGTGTGGAGACCTTAATTGAGTTCATTTTGATTAGAGTGGCCCATTGGTTAAAGACAATGGCATGTTTTTTCATAGGTTACAGTGGATGACATTACTAGAAACTGGAAGGAAGTGGCTGATTCTTATTGTAATAAGAGTATCACCAACCCTTCATGAGCACCACCAGAGAGAGGATTCATAAAACATAACTTTTAAGGAAGCTGCCTTGGAAATCCTGGAATTTCAAGAATTAGAGGGGTGCTTAGGGATGAGGAAGGAAAGGTAATTGCCCTCTTTTCAGGACCAGTAAGTGAAGAAGACTCCCTTAGGGCTGAAGTTATGGCAATGGTGGAAGGTGTAAAAAGGCAATTCAGTTGAGTATCAGGTAATTAATTATAAAGGAGATTCAAAATTATTAATGGGATGGCTTCTAAGTGAGGACATGAAACTACAGGCATACAACAATGAGAAGAAAAGAGTTCAAATGGCTGACAAAGGATATGAAAGGGAAATACAATGGATTAAACAGATTGCTAACGCTATGGAAGATGCATTAGCTAAGCAAGGACAGAAAGACAATTGATGTTCTGGGCACAATCGTAAAAAGAATTGGGAAGAGATAAGATGGTTTATCTCTAATTTTTTGTATATTTAGATGTACACACATTTCAATCATATAATTTAATGAATGCTGCAGTTATTGATCAAAAAATAGCATATTGCATTTGTAATATTTTCCACCCACCAAGATGTAGAAGCTATCATTTTCCATCTATTTAGTGCATACAAGTTACAAGATAAGATTATATCTGAGCAAGTATACAGAAAATACAGTACATTAATTGACAAAAAGGTACTCTTAGTCATACACTGATAAAAGTTTCCTAAACTTGACCTAGAGAAGAAAATAGAACTCTATGGAAAACATGCAGTATGATTCAAAAACAAGAAGACGCTTAGAAAAGAGAAAAGAAAAATAATAAAGTAGGAAGCACAAATTAGATTAGAGTTCACACAACGTCAAAAGGAAAAAAGATGATTTCTCTCTCAAATGAAAATGTAACCAGCTTCTTTTTTTTTCCGCTTCCAGTAATTGGTTTCTGCATGCATGTTTCTTTTTCCTTTATCTTTTTTCTTTGAAATTGTATTAGCATATAAAGATCCTCGTTGCAATTAAAACTGATATATAATTGTAAAAGCTTACCTCAACTAAATCAAGCTTGAGCTTCCTTGCACGTTCTAATGCCTCGTGCCTTGGGACAATCTCATGTCCTGCAAATATTAATATTGTAATTAGTTATAACCCAAACGATAACTGTGAATGTTTACTCAGAGCCAAACATCATTATAAATATGGTCAAATAAGACTGCAAGGATCAAAATATCGATACAGGCCGATACTCCCCTGATACGTCGCAATCTTTTGATTCTTGTAAGAGAGGCCAACTGGATTTTCACAAGAGGAAAATTAGAGGAGCTCAGTTTGATTCCATTCTTGGGTGTGGCTGCCTGGACAACCAGTATAAAGGAGAACGGACCCTTCCATCAGAAGTAGGGGTGACCATGTGCTGGACAGGGTCACGTCCGAGCTATGGCCTGGACCTGGGTCTGCATGGGCCCAAACCTATTATTTTTTTTATGAATGAATGACATTTTATTAAATAGAGATAGAAATAGTACAAGCATGAAGCACCCTAAGAGGAGGCACGAGGTGTTTCATCCCCTTAAAGGTGGTTCCAAACCCAAATCTTTTCAGATTGCAGTTAAAAATTAGCCAAAAACAGATAATCCCTTGAAGCCCCTTGTTTAGCTAAAGAACCTGCCAAAGCATTTGCTGATCTACTAACCCACTGAAAGCTAACTGACATGATTCTCATAAGCCATTTGACTTTTTTGATGATGTCCCTATATCCCCAAACAACAGTTTCTGGGTCCGACATCCATCCCGCTATCACCTTAGAGTCTCCTTCAACTATCAAATTAGTCACTCCAAGTTGGTTGGAAATCTGTAGTCCTTGTACCATAAACCTATTATTTTAGTTATAGTTATTTTAAAACCTCTTATTTCTGAGGCATTTGTCCATAAACCCAATTTTGTATTTAACCCCTCTCCAATTTTATCAATTAATACTTTTTTTAATAAGTAATTTTATCAATAAACAGTCATCAGCAAATAACATACACCATTGAACTCCTCCTAAATATGTTTTATCGATTCATCCATGATTAGAATGGCCAAGTGTTAGGCCTTGCTGAAGTCCCATTGTAACTAGAACTAAACAGGTACTTGCATGGACTCAGACACAGGAGTCTGAATCAAACATGTACCCAAGAGTCTGACTCAGTGAACCCAAAAACTAGGAATCATGGACATATCTCAGATAAATAATATTTTTTTGATAAATAATAAATAATATTTTATTATATGTTAAATATAGTGATCTTAGGCCCCGTTTGGTTCACAGGAATAGGGGTCTGAAATCGGAATCGGAATGGGCTATTCCATTCCGATTCCAACTGTTTGGTTGAGCAGAATCGGAATCCCATTTGAGGGAATGGCCATTCCCTGCCCCTCCCTTGGGAATGAAATCCCATTCCTGTTGATTTTAATTTTCATTCTCATTCCTGTCTGAACCAAACAGACTATGGGAATAGACCATTCAGATTCCGATTCCAATTCCGACTGCGAACCAAACGGACCCTTAGTGTTATTTTTAAAATTCATAGAACCATATAAACATAACTTAAATGGCTAAATTACTTTTAAATGTGAAAAGTTAAACTCACAGCCTTTGCCAATTTAACATATGTGCACACTAGTTCTTCATTGTTTTCCTAATTTTGGTGTTAATTGAGAAGATCCAATAAACAATGGATCATAAGTTATGCCCTATTGGACAGTTTAAATGGTTTGACCACTATTACATGGAGGTGTTTAAAGTGAAGATTCGTAATTTTGGAGAGTCAGAATGGTGGGCATTTTGGCAAGTCCACCTGTTCACACTGTAGCTGGGCCTAACATGTGTCAGTTTGTGAGTCCCCTCCAGAAGTGGAGTGCCCATGGAACACTACCAACAAGTATTCTAACTTCTAACATTGGTTGTTGCATTCTCATACATCTCCTTAATTAGATCCAAATAACTATTTGGTGTTCCTTTCTTTTTCAAAACCTGTCATATTATCTTTTTAGCAACTCTATGCTTTCTCTAGATCAATAAATACCATATGAAAATCTCTCTTCTTCTAGCTGAACTTTTCTATTAGTTGTCTTTGATAAAGAGATAGTTTCTCTTGAACAAAACCAAACTAGTAAGTTGATAAACCTATTTCATGCATAGTTGTCATGGCAATGCCTAGGCGACATGGCGCCCTTGGAGAGTCGCCTTGCTCAAGCACCTAAAAATTTTTGTATGAGGAACTACATAATATTGAAACAGATATTATTACACTAAATTATTCATCTTATGGGTTTATAATATTTTTATAATTCTTATACTAGTTAATTTTTTTATTATTTTCTTCTTTCTCCAGGTTCAATCAAGGCACAAGTCGGTGATGGAGTCTTAACCCTTTAAGATTTCAAAGCCTGAACAGATAATAATTATCCAATCAGCACACAAGGGAAACCCAGGAATTATTATTGTTATTATATCAATAATAATCATTCATCTTCCTCTTCCTAGAATAAAACAAAGGCCTAGCCCCTACATTTTCTATTTTTCCTTTTCTTTCTTCTTTTTCTTCTCATAAATATGTTGATTTTCTATGTTTTATATGAGTTTTATACTCATGGTAATTGTTAGTAATAGATTATTATTGGTTACCATAAAACCTTGGGAACTATTGATTTAAACCCCATTTGAGAGTGCTTTTTGGCTTAAATGGGCTTCTGAAAAAGCACTTTTTTAAGTTTTTGGCTGCTCACCAGTAGAAATGTTCATGGACTAGGCTTGGGTTGAGCTTTTACCAAATTTTGATTGGGCCTGGTCCAAAGCCTGAGCTCAGTGTGAAATGTTCATGGGCAGAGCAGCCTTGGTTTGGACAATATGGGAAGAAAGGAATGATAGAATATTTCAAGAGAAGGAACGAAATAACCTGCAACTAAAAGATTGTGTATTGAATAGGGCAATACAATGGTTGAAGATTTTGGACCTATTCCATCAGTTCTCCTTTAATGACTTTTGGAGAAACTGGTTGGCAATAGCGAGGTGCTCTTCCATCAAGAACAAGGTAGTCCCAAGGTGGTGTCCTCCGGCTGAAGGCTCACTAAAACTGAATTTCAATGGCAGCAGCTTAGGCAATCCAAGGACCTCTGGAAGCGGGGAGGGTTCTGAGGAATGAACTGTGAAGATGTATCTTGATGTACATTATTAGAGTAGTCCTTGTTGTACAGTATCATAGCTCTTATTATTTTATTTGTTCTTTTTATCTTTCAGCCCTGTAAGGGCATTCTTGTAATTGTATATTCTTTTTTATCTCTTTAATATAAAAGAGGCTCTTCGGGATGGGGGTCGACCATTCTTGACACCTCTAGATCTGTTTTCTTCTAGATCTGAATTCAGTTCACATGGTACCAGAGCAGGTTGCTCTTTGATCTTCCTTCTCTCTGATCCATCTTACCTTTGTGATCTATTGAAAACCTACATCTTTGCCGAGTGGTCCTGGACTGTTTTGATCTATCCAGGAACTCCTCTTCTGTTTTCTGCGCACCCAGAGAGAGATTTTATTGGATCTCTCTCGTTTGACCTCCGTTTGCAGCAAGAATTGAAAGGAGTTGTCGTCCAACCCTTATCAACATATTCTGAAATTTTTACGAAGATCCGTGAAGTTTTGAGAGAGATCTGAACTCTTTTTCTTGGCTGCTGCGCCCAAACTTTCCTTTTCTGGACTGTGTGTTCAGCCTCTCTTCGTTTTGGATCTTGAACAATCTCCGATGAAAGTAAGGGGTTTCTATCTCAGTTTTTTTACTCTCTTGGATTGATTACAACATATTTCTCTTGTCTTTGGATCAAGTTTTGCTTCAGATTAATTTCTTTAAACTTCAGTGGAACCCTATTCGTGCTATTTTTTTGCTGAAATGGCTTCAGACAGAAGTGATATCATCCCTGTAAAGATGAATGGACAGAACTATGGGATGTGGAAGTTTCACTTCAACTTTTATGTTGAGAGAAAAGGTTTAGAAGGATATCTGAATGGAACGGTCACCAAACCAGTTGAGACCGAGGCCAAAGCTTTACAACAATGGAAGTCGGACATGAAGGGATGAAAGATCCATCATATGGATGGCCGAACCCTACAGGAAGGTTGAGCGAAATTTCAAAAATTTCTCTCTCTCCCGTCTGGGAATCGCACTCCCTATTGATACTTTTGATGTTTCTTGCACTACATGTTGTTTGAGTAAAAGTCATGTTTTACCATTTCTTCATAAATCTGAACATGCCACTAAACCTTTTGCGATAATACATAGTGATGTTTGGTTTGCTTCTATTACTTCACGATTGGGGTACAGACATTTCGTATTATTTATAGATGATTGTACCAGATATACTTGGATTTATTTTTTGCGACACAAATCAGAAGTCTTTGGTGCATTTAAATTGTTTCATACTATGGTGCAAAATCGATTCAAGTGCAGTGTGACTATCCTCCGCTTAGGGGGAGAATATAGAGATGGAGACTTCTTGGCATATTTGAGAAGTCATGGAATTCAATCTCAGCGCAGCTGCCCAGAAACTCCACAACAGAATGGTGTAGCTGAATAGAAGAATGGACACATTCTCAATGTTGTGCGGACCTTACTACAGGAGTCTCATACTCCAACTTCGTTTTGGGTAGAAGCAGCCAGTACATCCGTGTATTTGATCAATTTTCTTCCATCCTCTATTCTAGGCAACACCTCTCCCTTCCAAAAACTTTTTGATTATCCCCCAGATTTCTCTAGCCTTCATTTTTTGGATATCTTTGTTTTGTTCATCTTCCTGTTCGTGAATGATCTAAATTAACTGCTCAGTCTGCTATGTGTGCCTTTGTGGGATATAGTCCTGACCACAAAGGATTTTTGTGTTATGATCCTGCTATTTGTTGTATTCGGATTTCTCAGAATGTTGTGTTTCTTGAACATATCTCCTTCTTTGCTGGGGTTGCTAGATTGTTTGCTCCTTCCATCTTTGTTTTGCAAGACTTTGATTCAAATGACACTACTACTTCCTCAACCGAGAGAGATCTTCTTGTCTTCACCCGCAAGCGGCTACGTGTCCTGGCTCCTGTGCCTACAACCCCCCTTCCACCCGGTCTAGAGCATTCATCTTAGATATCTTCTGTAAGTGATACCTTGACCCAAGATCCTCCTATTTCAGATAGTAGTTCAGTTATTCCACTTCGTCGTTCTACCCGTATCTCTCGACCTCCTAACCGGTATGGTTTTCCTTCAAACCATAGTTCCTTTTCTATTGTACTTTCTTCCACAGATATCCCTAGATCTTATCAGCAAACCATTAGAAGTTCTCAGTGGAAAGAAGCTATGGATGCTGAAATTCAAGCCCTCCATGAGAATGACACTTAGGATCTTGTGCCAGCTCCTCCAGATGCTTCTATTGTTGGAAGTCGTTGGGTCTATACGATCAAACTAAAATCAGATGGCTCTCTTGATCGATATAAGGCCCGACTAGTTGCCCAAGGATACAGTTAGGAATATGGGATTGATTATGAAGAAACATTTGTCCCAGTCGCTAAGATCACCACAGTTCGGACTCTTATGGCCATTTCTACTGCTCATTCCTAGACTATTTACCAATTAGATGTGAAGAATGTGTTTCTTCATGGCGAATTAAAGGAGACAGTCTACATGAGACCTCCGCCTGGATATTGCAGTGATCCTTCATGTGCCTGTCGACTGAAGAAGTCCTTATATGGCCTGAAGCAAGCACCCAGGGCTTGGTTTGAGCGCTTTTGGGATGTTGTTGTTGCTGCTAGGTATAATCAGAGTTCCTCTGACTACTCCCTCTTTGTTAAAAGAAGACCCCATGGTATCACTATCCTTCTATTATATGTTGATGACATGCTCCTAACCGAGGATGACCATGACAGCATTCGTGAGTTGAAGTCCTTACTTCATAACTCATTTCACATGAAGGACCTGGGTCCTCTCACTTACTTCTTGGGTTTGGAGGTTGATCGTAGCAATCGAGGGTATTTTATTTGTCAACAAAAATACGCCTCTGATCTCGTCAAACTTGATGGAGTCACTGATGAGAGACATGTTGATACCCCCCTGGAGCTAAATGTCAAGCTATCTAAATCCGAAGGCCTCATCCTTCCTGATGCCACCCTATACCGTCAGCTTGTTGGCTCTTTGATTTATCTTACTATGACCAGGCCTGATACTTCACATGTTGTTCAGGTTGTTAGTCAATTTGTCTCTGCCCCGAGACAACCTCATATGACTACAGTTCGCCGCATCATCCGTTATGTTCGAGACACTACCTCTCAGGGACTGTTTTTCTCTTTCTCATCACCCATACAGTTGAGGGTTTATGCTGATGCCGATTGGGCTGGTTGCCCTAACACTCGTCGATCCACTATTGGGTGGTGCGTCTTCATGGGTGACTCTCTCATCTCCTGATCTCCTGGAAGTGCAAGAAACAGCAAACTGTCTCTAAGTCTTCCACAGAAGTCCAGTATAGAGCCATGTCTTCTGCATGTAGCGAGATTGTTTGGCTACAGTCACTTTTCATTGATCTTGGGATTTCTCTTCCCACTCCTATCCCTCTATATGCTGACAACACCAGTGCTATCAAGACCGCATCTAATCTAGTCTTTCATGAGAGGACTAAACATATCGAGGTGGATTGTCACCTTGTTGCAGGCTCTATATCTCTTCCTCGTGTTGCCTCTCACATGCAAATTGCCGACATCTTCACCAAGGCCATGACTAAGAGTCGACATCTCATTCTTATGGACAAACTGATGCTGATGTCTACGCATCAGTTTGAGGGGGAGTGTGAAAATATATCTTGATGTACATTATTAGAGTAGTCCTTGATGTACATTATTAGAGTAGTCCTTGTTGTACAATATCATAGTTCTTATTATTTTATTTGTTCTTTTTATCTTTCATCCCTATAAGGGCATTCTTGTAACTGTACATTCTTTTTTATCTCTTTAATATAAAAGAGGCTCTTTGGGGTGGGGGTCGACCACTCTTGACACCCCTAGATCTGTTTTCTTCTAGATCTGAATTCAGTTCACATGAACTTGGAGAGGTTGTTCTGTTGTACTCAGGTCCAGGTCCTTTAGAACTTGGTGATGCTGTTAGGGCAGAAATGCTAGCTGCGGTACAAGGGGTTCAGTTTTTAAGAATGAAGTTAAGAAAATCAAATGGTTAACAAGGAACATGTCAGTCTCTATTCAGTGGGTGGGGAGATCAGCAAACGCTTTGGCCAACGTGTTAGCCAAGCAAGGGGCAAATAGGGAAGAATTGTTTTGGACTCAGTTGTGATTCCAGTAATTGTTTCCTAACTTCTTTGTATTTGTCAGGAGGGGCTGCAGCTCGCACCTCTCTAAGGGATCTTGCATGAGATTGTAATCCTGAATCAGTTTCTGTTTACTCATCAAAAAAAAATGTTCATGGGCAGAGCCTGAAGCCTGACCCATGAGCAGATCTATTGTTACGATCCATTTGTCCCACGTTGGTAGTATGGGATGCTAATGTGAGATATCCCACATCATAGTATGGGATACTGTTGTGTGGTATATATGTGCTAGGTTTCCCTCCCTCTAACAGCTAGCTTTTAGGGGTGATTTCTCCCAAGGCACGTATGAAATGGTATCAGAGCTTCTCCCAGTTGCAATCGTGTAGCACAGGTGGTGACATCGGTATTGCAATGTTCGACCAGGACTAGGTGGACTAGTGCAAAGCCAGCCTGCGTGGGCATTGGGATTGCAGAGCGTGGTAGAATGTTACGATCCATTTTTCCCACGTTGGTAGTATGGGATGCTAATGTGAGATATCATACATCGGTAGTATGGGATACTGTTGTGTGGTATATATGTGTTTGGGTTCCCTCCCTCTAACAGCTAGCTTTTAGGGGTGAGTTCTCCTAAGGCACGTATCATCTACACACCAGCTTTTTTGTTCAAAATAGCTTCTTACATAAGTGAAAAGCTAAATGGAGGTTTTCTGCTTTTTCAGATGGGCTTTTTTTATGCAATGAGCTTTTTAACCAAACAATTTTTTTACTAGCTTTTGGCTTCTCCAAAGTGAAAAGCACAAAAAGCCCATTGGAGAAGCACTCCCAACCATTGCCTTATTTTTTATCATAAAACTCATTGCCTAGGCAAGCACTTAGGTGACAAGACACTCCCTTTGTCGCCCAAGTTCACCTTGGTCCCTTGAAGACTATCATGTCATAGTCTTTGTTTAATTACCCTTTCCCAAAGTTTCATTGTGCTGCTCATGAGTTAAATCACAATACTTACTATTCTTTTTGATAACTCAATGATAATTACAATAACTTCATATATCACCTATTTTTTAAATGTAGGCACCATGGTGTTTTTTCTCCATTGATCCATTCATTTGACATTTTCATTATTTTCGTTATAGACTCATAGTTTAGTGAGAAAATATCAGCCACTAATAAATTATAGTACTTAAAATTTAAACAATGGTTATTGATCAAAAAAATAAAATTTAAACAATGGTCCCCATTTGAAGTCAAAGAACAACTCAACAAACCATAGGGAAGATTTAAGCCTTAGATAAGCAATACCTTCATCCATGACAAGCCTAACGAATTCGGCATCAATTTTCTCATTGACCCGAGGACCGTCAGGTTCCTTCTCTTCCTTCTTCAGTTGTTGTCCCTTCTTTGATTTAGACTAGAATCAAGAAGATCAGCATAATGTACAAACCCACCAGATGTAGGTGCTCAGGGAGAAGAAAACTCAAAGTAGAACAAAATATGTACCTTGGCACGAGAAGAAAAGAAGCAAACATTGTTGTACAGCTGGGATGGTCTATCCCAAATAAAAAAATCCTGCTTGTCCAACACACTATTCGTGATCTCCCTGGTAAAGCCATGGGCCAAACTAACAGCACGGTTCTGAAAGTACCATTTCTTGCATTGATAGGATAATGAGACAAGCTTCAACTGCCTGATTCGACAACAAAATGCCATATCTCTATAGAATTACAGAAGCATATCTATTCTCTACCCTTCCAATTTCCAACTTTCAGATGAAACCTACAATAAAGAAATCAAATCCACTGTTAACCACTCTTATCTGATACCTATCAAAAAGAAAACACTCTTATCTGATCCATAAGTTCCATTCTAGATCCACTAACCCCTAAAAGAACTAATATAAATCAATAAAATTAATAATCTATAAAATTAACTTGTGTTGGTGTCAGCCTAAAAGCCTCTCTGAGGTGGTGAAATCCTGGAAGATGGGTTGGAGCACAATACATTCAGCAATATGCTGGGTTCTGTGGAAGGAGAGGAACGGGAGAATATGTGAAGGGAGGAACAGGGACTTGGATGAGTTGTGCCATCAGGCAAGGGCTTCTCTGCATTCATGGATGGCAGTCAAAGAGCAGTTCAACAAGATCCCACACGATCAGTTTTTTAACTATTCCACATTATTTGGATAATTCAACACTTAACAAATTTTGGGCTGGCTAGTTTTTTGTTTGGGTATGTTAGAGTTGGTTGAGTAGAGGTAACTTAGTCTTTTCATTATACTTTAAGTAGTGACTTGGCAATTCTGTTTTGTTTTAAATTATTTGTCCCATACTTAAGTAGGGGCATATTTGACTTTGTACCCTTAGTAAATATAATAAAAGGTTATGGTCGACTGGGAGTGGGTTTACTCTCCAGTTCAACAGATTTCTCCTCTTCTCTTCTTATCTACTTCTTCTTCTTCTCCCTCTCTCTCTCTCTCTCTCTCTCTGAAGAACTTATCTGAACCATAAAAACATGGTATCAGAACTACAAATAAGATAAAGGAAGTCTACGATCTCAAGCTCCTGGACCAGCAATCTCTCCTCCTCTTCTTTTCTCCTTTTTCTGGGCTGTGATCTAGGTTACACCAAGTAGAAGGCTGCGGCAACCCTTTTTGGTAATTCCAGGACTGCCACAATCTCCATTACAGATGTTAGGAAGGTGCGGCAGCCCTAGGTTGGTGGTTCTAAGACTGCTGTCACCTTGAGTGACAGCCTTAGTGGTCATGTGGCGGTGTTTGTGGGGACTCAGACCCTCTACTGAGCAGTTTCAAGAAGGGTTTTGTTGACTAACAGTTATGGTGGTTGGTTAACAGTAGTGGTGTGAGAAATACTAGTTTTTTTTTTTTTTGAAGGAGATGGCTGAATGTGTCTGAATGGTGGTATATGTTAGTTTTTTTTTTTAAATGATGGCTGGTTAAGAGAGTACAGTAAGGTGATGTCTAGACTGCAGCAGTGTTGACTTAACAGCAGTATTTTTTTTTTTTGGTTGGTTGATAATTCAGAATTAGGAAGGGTAATTGATAGTTCCCTGTATTGAGAACACAATGGCAGCAACCGGAGATGATGGTAGTGATCAGAAATCTAGTGAGATGATCCCCTCGGACTATTTAAGTGTGCAGATGACATCAATTAAACTTAATGGTGAAAATTATGTGCCATGGGCCAAGTCAGTGGAGGTTTTTCTCAAGGCCAAGAGGAAGGTGAAACATGTGAAGGAGGATAAACCATTAGTTGAATCTCCAGGGTTTGATGATTGGGAACAAAAGAATGCCCAAATTATAACATGGTTATGGAATAGTATGGAACCCAAGATTAGTGTAAACTTTATGTTCTTAGATACAGCAACGGAAATATGCTTTATTCTAGATAAGACAATACTACGAGAGTATATTAGCTCTATCAGGAATATTTTAATTTGCAGCAAGGACATCAAACCCTTGAAGAGTATTATGCCAGTATGAGGAACCTCAAGAATGAACTCAATGTCTATCATCCCCTAACTTCAGATGTCAAAATTCAGCAACAACAAAATGAGCAACTTGATGTAACCAGGTTCTTAGTGTGGTTGAAATCATAATATGAACCAGTTAGAGCACAAATGTTGGGAGGTTCTGCTCTTCCTACACTTGAGGAAGTATTTGCTCGACTCCATAGGATTTCCCTAGAACCCACAGAGAGTACCACAACTTCTGACAAATTAGTGTTTGTTGTAGCGAGAGGAGGTGGACGTAGAAATAGAGGGGGAGGACATGCATTTCGAGAAGGTTGTGGCAGTGCCATGTTTGGTCGTGGTAGTGGAAGTGGTGGAGGTCGTGACTCGGGGGGAGGCCGTGGTAGAAGAAGAGGGAACACTACTAGAAAGTGTATACATTATGGCAAGGAAGGACATATAATTAATTTTTGTTATGATCTACATGACCCACCTTCCACATGGGCTAACCATGCAATTGTTGGTGGTGGTGATGTGAGTGATGATAATCAGCAGACAGATCAAACGCATTCCATATCTACATCTGCTTCCGGGAGGGAGATGATGAGTGTACCACGAGATGATATGAGAGGTTCCTTCAGGCCGCTTCACAACAGAACACTATTACCTTTGCACATTCAAGTATGGCTTGTCTAGCATCCAAACCTTCTTACTGGATTATTGATTCTGAAGCTTCTAATCACATGAACAGGACTTTAGGTGTTTTTTCCCTCTCTAAAACTTCCACATTACAAACTATTACCCTAGCCAATGGTTCTTCTTCTCCCATTTGTGGTGTTGGTAACGTTGATACTGCATCTCTTTCTTTATCCTCTATTCTATATGTGCCCAAATTTCCATTCAACCTTATGTTTATTAGTAAATTAACTAAGGCCCTTAATTATTCTATAACTTTTTACCCTTCATCTTGTGTTTTTCAGAATCTCAAGATGGGGAAGAAGATTGGTGGAGGGCATGAAACCAATGGATTGTATTATCTTGACAGTGGTGGATCTTTAGTTGCACTTCAGACTTCCTTGACTCCTCTCCAATGGCACTATCAGCTGAGACATCCACCTCTCAAGGCTCTCAAACTACTAGCTCCTACTTTGAGTCATCTGTCTTCTTTGCAGTGTGAATTGTGTCAATATGGGAAATACCATCGGGTTTCCTTTAATCCTAGGGTTGATAGTCGTATGATGTCTCCTTTTGCTTTAGTCCATTTAGATGTTTGGGATCCGATTAGAATTGAGTCCTATAATGGTTACAAGTATTTTGTCATTTTTATTGATGATTGTTTAAGGATGACATGGATTTATTTAATGAAAGAAAGGAGTTAATCGTTTTCTATTTTTCAAAAATTTCATGCTGAAATACGTACACAATTTGGTATTCCACTAAAAGTTCTTCGTTCAGATAATGGCTAATAATACTTTCTTACTTCCTTTCAACAATATTTGGAACAACATGGAATCATTCATTAGACTTGGTGTCCATCCACTCCTCAATAGGGTGGTTGAACGAAAGAACCATCATCTTCTTGAGACTACTCGGTTAATCCTTCATCACATGAACGTTCCTAAAAGTTTTTGGAGTGACGTAGTGCTTACGACTTGTTTTCTCATTAGTCAGATGCCATCATTCATCCTTCATGGTCGGTCTCCCTTTTCTATTTTGTTCCCCACTTTGTCTCCATTTCCATTAACTCCTTGGATCTTTGGGTGTATGTATTTTGTTCATAATCTAGGCCCTAGTTTAGACAAGTGTATCTATCTTGGCTATTCTCAGACCCAAAAAGGGTATTATAAGTGTTATAATCCTATCACTCGGAAGCCATTTGTCTGCCCTGATGTCACTTTTTTTAGTCCATGTTGTTCTTCTTGAGTCCTGATGTATCGTCCTCTTCACCATTAATCCCTCTTCCTCTTCCAGTTGGTGATCCCATTCCGGTTGTTCCTGTTATGACTGAGCCTTCACCTCCTCCAGTGCAAATTCCTACTAAACGACCACCAATCCAACATGTGTATACTCATCGACAGACACTGATACCTCCTTCGGCTTCTACCTCGTCTGCGAATCATGTAGTTGCTCCTATCCCAGAGTTGTTTACTTCTTCTGACCTTCATCTTCCTATTGCATAGTGGAAAGGTAAACGTAGCTGTACCTTACATCCCATATCCAATTATGTCTCCACCTCTCACCTTTCCACTTCACATCGCCAGTTTCTTTCCTTGTGGTCCTCTATATCTATACCCAAAGATGTATAGGAGGCTCTTACTTCAACAAGGTGGCATAAAGCAATGGAGGAGGAACTCTCAGCTCTTCAACACAATTACACGTGGGAGCTCACCACTCTTCCTCCAAGTAAGCATGTTGTAGGTTGTAAATGAGTGTATATTGTTAAATGTTTACCAAATGGTAGTGTGGAACGGTTGAAAGTCTGACTAGTTGCTAAGGGTTACTCTCAGTTGTATGGGGTGGATTATATGGAAACCTTCTCCCCTGTGGTTAAGATTGGTTCAGTTCGTGTCTTGATTTCCTTGGCAATTATGTATGATAGGCCTTTGTTTCAGCTTGACATTAAAAATGCCTTCCTCCATGGTGATCTTTTGGAGGAGATCTACATGGAGCAACCACCAGGGTTTGTTGCTCAGGGGAAGGATGGTAAGGTGTATAGGCTCAAGAAGGCAATTTAGGGCTAAAACAGTATCCTCGTGCTTGGTTTGTGAAGTTCAGTGAAGTAGTGAAAGATTTCGAAATGAAACAATGTCAGGTCGACCACTCAGTGTTCAGCTACGATTTTGAAACCGGAAAGATTTTATTAGGGGTTTATGTGGATGGTAATAGTCATAATTGGTAGTGACAAATTAGGGATTGACAAGCCAAAGGCCTTTCTACAAAACCATTTCCAAACACAAGATCTTGGAAAGTTGAAGTATTTCTTAGGTATAGAAGTTGCTAGGTTGAAATAAGGTATAAATTTGTGCCAAAGAAAATATGTTCTTGATTTGTTAGAAGAAACAGGATTGCTAGGTGTTAGACGGTGTATGCCCTTAGCTCCAATTAGCATGATGTACATTATGACATTTATTGTAAATGAATAAAGTACATATTTGATTCATGTTATTGTGGTATATTTCTGTATAATACCCATAAACTGGACACATATGAGACTTGTGTTAGTTTAGAATCTTCACAGTCGTTGGATAGATCTAGGAAGATTTATCCTGCCAAGGATGACACTGATGTACCGCCAAGTTGGTTGGGGTGGCTTGTCTCAGCTGCCAGGGTGAGACCTGAGGTACATGTAGTGTGGGTTTTCTTGAAAACCTGAACCGGACCAAAACTCCAGAATTGCCTTGGACCTTGGAGATAGATGGGCAAAACTGGAATGTTACACCTGACCCCTAGACTCGATTATGATACTGCACTAGGTGTCGGATCGGGCTGTCTTTGATGTGCCAATCAGTGAGACCTTAGAGGGGGTCAAAACCTGGGTATGTTACAGTCCCTGAATTCATCTGAGTGGGTGATCATAATGACAGGATCAACCCTTTGTCGAACAAAGTGAATGATCGAGAAAATGCACTCTCTTTGATGGAAACCTAAACTGCCGACAGTGGATTTCAAATGTGTTTGAAATTTGGTTTTGCAAAATATATTTATATAGAGATATACTTATATACATTATGGTTTCAAAATGTTCGCAAAAGATTTTAATTCTCGGGATCCATGTGAGCATAGAGTGCAGCACTGTACCTTGCAGTCAAGGGAGAAGTCATCTCTTATCGGGCAATGTTTGATCATTAAGGGCTGAGAGGTTAAGTGTATGACCATTGAGGGTTATACCTGATGGGCTAATCTTGCATCTGCCCACAATCCTCGGGCCTTCATAAGATGGCTGAACCCAATGACCATTTAGTGTAAATGTTGGGCCCGTTAAGAGCCCATGGTGATGGACTCAGGGGTTCACTGTATTCAGCAGTGAATTCGGCCAGGCCTTGTAACAGAGGCTAGGTTGAACCCATGTGGTTGATGTGTAGATCAATGTTAGGGTCCCACGCCATACAAAGAGAGCCAAGCTAGCCAGCATTAAAAGGAAGTGAGCTTGAAAGCTTAATGAGCCTAAAAGCCCATTTCGAACTGGATTAATTGGATTAATTAAATAGGGGCAGATCTGGGTTTGGATCAGTAGATAAGGATAAGAGGATAACTCTTATCCACTTAAAGAGTCCAGATACAAATAAAGATTTGGATCAAGGAACTCCTAATTTGATTAGGAATAAGTTGATCTTGAACTACAGATAAGATAAGGGGTTATCCTTATCACTTAAAGAGTCTAAATCCAAATAAAGATTTGGATCAGGAGACTCCTAATCAAATTAGGAGGTTGTCTCTTTAAGGCTATAAATAGAGAATAGGGAGGACCTGAAAAAGACACGCAGACATTACAGAAGACAACTCAGTTAGACTGATCTTGCCTTCAGTTCTTTTTCTTCCTGCTCTTGCCGCCCTACTCTGTTCAATATCCAATTCTTGGATCTGATCAAGATTTGATCTTGATATTGTTTCTTGCTAGAAGAAACAATTTTTGAAGTTGTGCTCACTACCCCATTCAATTCTTGCTGAAGAATCACAAGTTCTTGGTAAAGAACTACCTGTTGATCCTGCCTCATCCTAAGCTGTGTCATCTTCAGTGGAGGGAGGATTTGGTACACTCTTTGGGCGTGAACACCTACGTTGAGAGGAGTTTTTTTCGTGGATTCCGTATCAGGTATATCCCTCCCTAATCTTGGTTTCAGATTTGGTCCGGTTTGGTTACAAGAACGAACCTTGAAAATGTAATTTTCTAAACTGGAAATAGGATTCCCGGATAGGGGTAAAGAAATTTTTGAAATTTCGCCCAACCTTCCCGCAGGGTTCGGCCATACATATGATGGATCTCTCATCCCTTCATTAGGTGCTAAACCAGTTAAAACACCTATGGAACCAAATGCTAAGTTGAATAGTGATGCAGGTGAAATGTTTGTTGATCCTGGAAGATATAGACGTTTAGTGGGGAAGCTGAACTACCTAACCATTAGCAAACCATATATCTCATTTATCGTTAGTGTGGTGAGCCAATTTATGTAAAACCCTCAAGTATCTCATTAGGATGCAGTTCTTAGAATTGTACAGTACTTGAAGAGAGCTCCGGGCCGCGGGTTGTTGTACAAGCCAGGAGGAAATCTTGAGATAGTTGGGTATACAGATGCAGATTGGGCAGGCTCGATGTCTGACAAGAAATCCACTACAAGTTATTAAACATTTCTTGGAGGAAATCTAGTGATGTGGAAGAGTAAGAAGCAAACTATTGTGGTGTAAAGCTGAATACAGGGCCATAGCACATACCACATGTGAATTAGTAATTTAGTATGGATGAAAAATCTTCTGCAAGAAGTTGGATTCTCAATGAACAAACCTACAAAATTGTACTATGACAACCAAGCCGCAATCCACATCTCATCTAATCCGGTTTTTCATTAGAGGACAAAACACATTAATTGCCATTTTGTAAGGGAGAAAGTCCTTACCGGAGAGATAAGCACAGAGCATGTAAATTCAGGTGATCAATGGGCAAACTTGTTTACAAAAGGTTTGACTTTAGGGAGAGTGAACTATATATGTAACAAGCTAGGATTATATGACATATATTCTCCAGCTTGAGGGGGAGTGTTAGAGTGGGTTGAGTAAGGGTAACTTAATCTTTTCATTATACTTTAAGTAGTGACTTAGCAATTCTGTTTTGTTTTAAATGATTTATCCCATACTTAAATAGGGGCATATTTGACTTTGTACCCTTAGTTAATATAATAAAAGGTTATGGTCGATTGGGAGTGGGTTTACTCTCCAGTTCGACAGAATTCTCCTTTCTCCTCTCCTCCTCCTCCTCTTCTTCTTCTTCTTCTTCTTCTCTCTCTCTCTCTCTCTCTGAACTATCAAAACAGGGTATTTTTTTAGTATAAACTCAGATCTGATGTATAGTTTCTGGCTGTGTACATACTTTGCATATATGCAATACAGTTGTAATCTGAGTTTAATCGAATTAACACAACATCATCTTACATTCTCTAAAAAAAAATAGTAATCTATTCCTTGAAAAAGTAAAGGGAGTAGTCCATAGCTGTGTACATGCTTTGCATATATGCAATACAGTTGTAATCTGAGTTTAATCGCATTAACACAACATCATCTTACGTTCTCTCAAAAAAATAGTAATTTATTCCTTGAAAAAGTAAAGGGAGTTCATAATTCACACCTCTATGGCAATGTTGATAGCAATAGCAGATTTACATCCACCAGAACCCGCACCAATTAAACATCAAATAAATGCATATTAAATAACAAAATTGGAAGATTAAAGAAAGAAAAACAATAAAAAACAGGTCTATTGGCGTATTAGACATGGACCACCTGGTTTTCATTCCTTGGCATTGAAATATAAGTTCGTCCAAGTAATTTGTTGATTAAACCTAAGCTAAGTTTCAAAGCAGCAAGATGAGGGCCCCGTGGCCTGATTCTAGTTTGTTTAGGGCCATTTCAGACCGAGAGAGAGAGAGAGAGAGAGAGAGAGAGAGAGAGAGAGAGAGAGAACAAATGTACAAGAAATAACACTCCAATACCCCAATAATCAAATAAAAGGATAATCCTTCTAACTCTTCTATTCTTCTATTCTATCTCCATAGTCATTTATTGCCATCTTTACTACAGCACGCTAGACTATATTCTTCACTCTTATCTAGATTTCAGGAGGCCACAGTTGGTTCCATATTAATAGGATTGTTATTCAAAGGTGAATAGAGGCAATGCAATTGAGGAGACCAGAGAAGGCCTCATAGAGCTCCGATATCAACATACGGGGTTCACTATATTCGACTCAAAAGGAATAGCTGGCAGAAAGGGAGGTCGAGGATCCAACATAGCCGCCATTTTTGTATCTTTTATTCCTGTAAAACGAAGCTTTCCTTGAAAGTTGAAACCTTAATTTTGTTACAGATTTGAGCAAGCACACGATTTCAGATTGTTGAAGGAGAACAGTAGGTGAACTCTCGGGTAATTAATAAGGAAATAATTTCCTCATACACCTTTAAATTCTTGATATATATAGCAACCTCACCAAACCGATCAGTACCACTGTTCTAATACCTATCTCCTATTTAAAAAGAAGAAGAACCAAACAAAAAGAAGGAAAACATACCGATCAATGCTGGTCGCTAGAGCGAAGAGCGAGCTGCCACAACACTAGAAGCTCCCTGTCTTCTTCTGGTGGAAACTGGAGAGAGTTGCAGAGTAGCGTTAGAAGCCTAAATGACAACGGACAACCCTACCATACATTGATACTCTCAATCCCTCTTTTATTAAAACACTGAAACCAAATAACCGAATCGGATCTTGCAGCGAAAAAAATAACCGAATCGGAACAAAAAACCGTACCATTTAATAATCAAACCAGGAGAGGGGCCTGCGTTGCAGGGCCTTCCAAAATTAAATTGTTGTATAGAAAAAAAAATGAATTTACAAATGATAAATTTTTTAATTAAAAGTTTTTAGGAAAAAAGGTTTGCTTAAAATATGAGAAATCTATGGATAATAATATATTTAATTTAATAAAATAAAATAATAAATAAATAAATAAATTTTTCAGTTTTGAAGTTAATTTAATATAAATAAATCACTTTTGTTCTTAAATAAAGAATACAGATCTTTTTCCTCAATTTCTTGGTCGGGCCTCGAGCTTTATATGGGGCCAGGGTTGGGCTCAAGATCTAGGCCCGATGGTCTTGTCATGCTCATGCTTGGGCCTAAATATGTTTCATTGATATAAAGGTAAAGCCTAGTGTAGCCTATGAATAGGTTTAATCTAGGGGTGAAGACAGGGGGACCCCAAAGAGCCATGGCCCCCCTATGACCCAGCAAATCCCCACTTTTCATGTATATTTTCCCCCTCCCCCACTCCCCACCCCAATGGTTGCCCCTCCCAATGGCCATCCATATTTATTCCCCCCAATCTCCTTTATTTTGTTGATTTATAAATAATTTATTTAGGTAATAATAAAAAAAATACATAAATGAATAATAAAAGTTGAGATAAAGAATAGGAGGAGAGAGAGAAAAATCATTCATTTAATTTTATTAAATAAATAAATGCTTAGATAATAATAATAAATAAATAAAATTTTAGATAAAAAATAAGAGGAGAGAGAGAGAGAGAGAATTAGGCGAGAGTAGGGGTGCAACTTGGGCGGGCCTAACTCGAGCCTGAACCAACCCAACCCAAAATTTTACATGGGTTGGGCTTGGATTTTCAATCCTCGGGCTGGGCTTAGGCCCAAAAAGTTGGGCATTTTTATTTTTCAGGCCTAGCCCAGCCTGAGCCCAGCCCAACTATGCACATTAATACATATATGCATGTATACACATTTGCATTAATCTACATATATATGTATAATTTCAAAGTGGGTTCATTGACCAACCCAAGCCCAGCCCATGCTCGAACCCAACCCGAGTGCATCATATTATAGTGTGGGCTAGGCTTGGGTTAGGAAAATTAGGTTTCACCTCGGGCCTAGTCTAGGCTCGGGCCTTAAGCTCAACTTTTAGGGTCGGGGTCGGGTTAACCATAAACCCGGCCCAACCCGCCCAACTTGCACCCCTAGGTGAGAGAGAAGAGGGATGGAATTTTATTTTATAGGATGGCATAATAGTAAATAATAATAAAATAAATAAATGCTTAGATAATAATAAAAAATAAATGAATAAATAAAAGTCTCTCTCAATGTCAAAACTCCTTTATTTTGCTGATTTATAAATAATTTATTTAATTTTATTAAATAAATAAATGCTTAGATAATAATAAATAAATAAATAAAAATTGAGATAAAGAATAAGAGGAGAGAGAAAATTAGGTGAGAGAGAAGAGGGATAGAATTTTATTTTATAGGATGGCATAATCATAAATAATAATAAAAGAAATAAATACATGGATAATAATAGAAAAATAAATAAATGAATAATAAAAGCTGAGATAAAGAATAAGAGAGAGAGAATTAGGTGAGAGTAGGGGTGCAACTTGGGCGGGCCTAACACGAACTTGAACCGGCTAGCCCAAAATTTTACATGGGTTGGGTTTGGATTTTTGGTCCTCGGGCTGGGCTCGAGCCCAAAAAGTGGGCTTTTTTATTTTTCAGGCCAACCCAGGCCTAGCCCTTAGGTAACTCGAGCCCGGCCCAACTACCCACATACATATACATACATACATACATACATACATACATACATACATACATACATACATACATACATACATGCATATATACATACATACATACATACATACATACATACATACATACATACATACATACATACATACATACATACATACATACATACATACATACATACATGCATACATGCATACATACATACATACATACATACATACATACATACATACATACATACATATATATACACACACACATATATTTGCATTAGTATACATATATGTATAATTTTAGTGGGTTCATTGACCAACCCGAGCCCAAACCTAACCTGAGTGCATCATATTATAGTGTGGACCAGGCTCGGGTTGGGAAAATCAGGCTTGACCTCGGGCCCAATCTGGGCTCGAACCTTAAGCCCAACTTTTAGGGCTGGGTTTGGGTTAACCATAAACCCAACCAACCCGCCTAACTTACATCCCTAGGTGAGAGAGAAGAGGGATGGGATTTTATTTTATAGGACGGCATAATTGTAAATAATAATAAAATAAATAAATGCTTAGATAATAATAAAACTAATATATATATATATATTAAAGAAAGGTCTTCATGCTATAGCCCCCACCATTCAAACATTTGGCATTCTCATATTTCTAGAAATCTATGCACATGGCATTTTCTGAGAAATTATTGTTAAAGCCCACAACCCACTACCACCATTCTAACAAGTGCCTTCACATTTTTTGGAAAACTAGACATGTGGCAATTTTTGAGAAATTCCTGCTAAAGACCGCAACCAACTACCAAGCTATAGCTCCCCACCATTCAGACATGTGGCTTTCTCATTTTTCTAGAAAGCTAGACATGTGGCTTTCTCATTTTTCTGGAAAGCTAGACACGTGGCATTTCTGAGAAGTTGCTGCTAAAGCTCAGAGCCCACTACCACTATTTAGACACGTGGCATCCTATTAATTCAAGAAATAAGATTCAAAAAGTGGGTAGTTTCACTCCTAAACATTCTTAATATACAATTATTTATTAGCTTAACACATGTTTATCCATGATCTATTAAATACAAATGGTGGGACCCATTAAAAGATTACCATAAACCCACATTTGTATTTATTAGAGTCGACAATACAAGGGTATTTTGGTCTTTTGTCTATCTAATTGAGAGTGAATAGTCTATTTTATTCAAGTTTAAGTCATGTGTCCCATCTTTAATAAGGGACAATACTATTTTTTGTAATTCAACTTATACATTATAAATACAAAGTGGGTCGGCTGGGTAGAGTGACTTTTTCTCTTCTTTCCAAACCTTTCTTCTTATTCTTCTTCTTCTTCTTCTTGCATACTTCGAACCTATAATTGAATAGGATTAATCTACCTATTCACATGGTATTAGAGCAATAAGAAACTAGTTCGATTTTTTTAATCTTCTCTCATCGCCCTTCATCTTCCTAGGATCGCTGCCATATCAGATTTTGTTTTTGAATATTTCTTAAACAAATTGGGAGTTCGGTAAGGGGCCAAAAAATGAGTGGTTGTTTTTTGTTCTTGGAGGCAAATATGCCTCCGGTTGCTGTGGTGGTGATTGTTGCGGTGGTGTACTAAATACCTTCTATTCGATGGTACGAAGAGGGCTGATTGTGGACAGATGTGAACAAAAATTCCTATTCGGCTAGTAGTGGATTGTGGCTGCTTCTTTTTTGTCTGGATTTCATTTATGTGGCAGTGTGGATTGGTAGGTATGCATATGAATCTCTTTTCCTCCTGTTTATACCTGGATATGTGAGTTGAAAGTAGGGTTTTCGAATTCTGAATTCACGACAACAGCAGTGTGGTCATAATTATATTTTGTTGAGTAGTGTGTAGTGTGGTGCTAAATAGTAGGAGGTGACTACTTTGCTTATAATAGTGATTTCTTTGTCAAGTGAAGTGAATCAATTAGGATGGCATTAACTACAGATGGTAGTGACAATAAGGTAGGTGTTATGATTTCTCCTAATTACTTAAATGTTCAAATGACCTCTATTAAGTGGAATGGTGAGAACTATGTGCCAAGGGGCAAATCTATGGAGGTGTTTTTAAAAGTCAAGAAAAAGGTAAAACATGTGAAAGAGGAGAAACCCCCCTCATCTGATTCTCTAGGGTTTAATGACTGGGGACAAAAGGGTGCACAGACTATGACTTGGTTATGGAATAGCATGGAACCTAAAACTAGTGTGAATTTTATGTTCTTAGATACGACTAAGGAAATTTAAGACCATTCTAAGAAACTTTATTCTAGCCAAGATAATATCACTATAGTATATCAACTTTACCAAGAGTACTTAATCTGAAGCAGGGTAACCAAAGCTTGGAAGATTACTATGCAAGCATGCGAAATCTCCCTAATGAGCTTAATGTATATCATCCTCTGACTACAAATGTTCAAGTTCAACAACAACAACAACGAGAGCAATTTGATGTGACAATATTATAGTGGGTTTAAAGGCTGAATATGAACCTGTTCGAGCCCAAATACTAGGAGGGTCTGCTCTCCCCTCTCTTGAAGAAGTGTTTTCCCGTCTTTGGAGGATTTCTATTAATTCTATAGAATCTTTTTCTCTATCGAATAGATCTGGTTTTGTGGTAATTAAAGGGGGAGGTCATGGAAATAGAGGTGGTGGAAATAGTGGCCGTGGGTTTTTAGGAAACCGAGGTGGTCTTATGTTTAATTGTTCTAGTGGTCGTAGTGGAGGTCGAGAGTCAGGGGAAGGTCGTTGTAGAAGTAGTGGAACTAGAAAATGCACATATTGTGCTAACCATGCCATGACTAGTGGCAATGGTATAGTTTGTGAAAACCAACAGGCTGATCAAACCCCCTACACATCTACTGGTACTTCTAGGAAGGAAATGGTGAGTGTACCATATGAAGTATATGAGAAGTTCCTTCAGACATCCTCTCAACAGAATACAACTACTCTTGCCCATTCATGTATGGCTTGCTTGGCTTCCAAACCCTCACACTGGATTATTGACTCTAGAGCCTCGGGTCATATGTCTAGGATTCCAAATGTGTTTTCTTCACTTTCTCAACCTTCTACATCCCAAACTGTTACCTATTGCTAACGGTTCTACCTCTCCCATTTGTGGTGTTGGT